GTGAATTTGACTTGCTTTCTTGCAACATGTCATATAGGGCTTGATGATGAACTGCCCAGGCCAGTACACGCAGCTCAATTTCCTGATACCTTTTTGGCTGGGAGACAGCATTGAGGATTGTGGGTCTTAGAGACTCATTTCCTTCTGATTCTATGGATTGCATCCAGTTTTAAACCAGCCCATTGAAAATGCTACGTGAGATCTAGCTTGCATGACACAACAGCTCACCGGTGTTAATTCACAAGGGCTGGTATATCATGCTGGGCCCCTGTGGACACAATTGTTCTATTTTCCAGCTTGCCATAGGTCATTGTGTCATGCAAGTCCAGGTGGCAGGGACTGTTTGGAGGTTAGACAACATGTAGATATCCCTAAAACAAAGCATTTTGTAGCCTGGGTTTGTATAACATGACAAGCCATAGCAAGCTGGGTGCCTGGTGCAAGGTAACCGTCCCTTGGGTAAATCATCCCATAATGGGCTGTCATGCCATGTTTAGAAACCTTGCTGAATTGGATGAGTCGTGGAGTGGAGAAGAGGGGAGTATCCCCAAATTGGGTGGAACAATCTGTACAGAAGCAGAGTCCCTTTTCTTGCAGAAAGACAGGATCTGTACCCAACTCTCTGTATCCAGAGAAAACAAATATAACTTTAGTCCCGCAGTATCTGTGGATTTCAGCAGTTATTTAAGGACTTTGCCATTTTCATAAATCTCAGATAATGAAGTGTAACTGAAGTGTGGCTAAACGAGTTCTTGCAATTTGTGGTGAATAGTTTGATTTCTTCTGTATATTTTTTTTAATCTCGTTTCCAGATATTCCCAGTGGATATTATTAAAGTGACCCATAAGATGGAAATTAAAAATGGTTAATCTTTTTTTAAGTGGCATCTTAGAACCTAGATCTTAGTATAAAGTGAAGTATTTGCTTATGGATTATGTGCTATTATGCACTGAAGTAGTTGAATAAATCTAGATTTGAACAAAGTAATTGGGCTCTGATATAATTCCATGGAAACAGAACAAATAGGACATAAGTGTTTGGAGTAATAGAGCACCATAATGTATTTGTAGGAGATTAAATATATATTGTAGATGTGAATAAAATTATAGTTAATACTGGAACACAGGTATTTCATGGTTGCAAACGTAGATGAAATGTAGATGCACATTTCTCAGCATGCCATAATCAACTGTATTTGTACTGGTTTTCTTACAGAGTAGAGTTGCTATATTTAGATGGAAACATCATGGAATTAAAGATGTGTGACCCCATCCCATGTTTGCTTCAGAACTTATTTGGATTTTCCAAAAGTATTCCTGTTGATTGCTTTAAAACATTCTTGAAGGATCAAGCATCCCACAAACTATGCTGCCAAGTCCCCTTCTCCTGTCCCGAGCCAAAGAAGCTTGCCTTTGGCACAGTGCAGTACTGTGAACCACTCAGAAAGCTTCGATGGTTGGGAAGTATAGAAATGGGAAGTTGGGAAGTATAGAAATGGGAAGTTGGGAAGTATAGAAATGTGATCCGAATGAATGAATGACAAGGAGAGGGGAAGCTCCTAAACACAGGAGAAGTCTGTTGTGGCCTTTATCATAGGATGTTTTTAATCCTGTTTAGTTAGGACCCAGAGAGAATTTACTATCCCAGGCTTCACAAGAAATTAAGTGGGAGGAGAAGGTTCGTAGCTCTTTTCTGCCTCCTTATTATATCTTGTCCATTAAACTTTATGATCCCTGCCTGGGTATCACACTCCTGAGAAGGGTCTGGTTTGTGATTTCCAGCTAATGGCAGGCCCCAGTGAAGATTTCCTAACACTGGACAGTCCCATTGTCTTGGCAAATGTGGTGGCAGCTGCTTGTGGTGGGCAGGCAGGCCGGCAGGCAGGACTGGCTAGCAGCAGGAGTAGGGTGTGAATCCAGTTTGGAGCAAGACTCAAAGCTGAAAGCATCTGAACTGAATTCAGAATAGAAGAGGACATTTCAAACAGGAGGGAAGAGCCATCGCTTAGCAGTAGAGTATCTGTTTTACATGCAAGGGTTCCCATGCTCAGTTCTTGGTGTCTCCAGGGGAGCCTGGAAAAACTGCGTGAAACCCTGGAGAGCCTCCAGGGACGAGTGCCCTGACTTCATATAAGAAACAACAAACTTTCTAGGTTGCTATGAATTCTGAATTCTCAAAAGGTCAAAGTGCATTGTGTCTCTAATGGCACTGATAACTCTGTTGTCTTTGTTGCATTTCTTGCATCAGATGCTACAGGTTCAAGTAGCAGCTCCCCCAGCACTACCTCCTGGGAGCCCTCAGATCAGTTTGGTACCATTGCAGTGCAATGGCCCCAGGTCCAGTATTGGTAAGAAACCACAGAAAGACATTTCATACCCCTGAGAGGCCCAGCAGAACCAATAAAAATGCACTCTGTCTAATTCCCTGCATAGATCATGCACCAAGATGGTGAAGGCAGCTTCAATTTCAAACCCTGGCCTGAGCTCAGATTAGAAAACGTCCAAATAATCAACCTTATCCACAAAGGCCTGCAGTTGCATCACCACAAGTTGCTCTAGGATCACACCCAGAAAAGGATTGCTGGAGCCCGATCAGTGGTAATTTTGAGAGGCTCAATCCAACCGTGTTTTTCTTTTTCTTTTCATAAGATGGACAATTTATGCCAATGTTCTGGCCTACAGCTTGCCTCATAACCCACCATTGGCAATAATGGCCAATGTAGGTCAATATATTAGGGGGAAGAAAACAAGTTTCCTAACCCCAGCTTTAAAGAAATTGGGGGTTAGCCTTTCTCCAAGAAAGTTTTTACTGCTACCACCACACAGCTGGCCAGTTCTCTGGCAAGTTTTACTGACTAGGATAGACAAGAATCCAACAAATAGGTGGTTGGCCACACCCCGATAAGCAACTTTTCCAGAGCTTCAGGTTAAATATGATGCAACTCATCCCCCAGAACTGGAGAGGTGGCCTCCACCATCATCCGAGTGCCTGTTCTTAATGTGGATTCCTACACAAATGCAAGTTATTTTCTCAGCAACATTTTGTAAGTTTGTCACACTGGATTGTTGAAAACTCCCCTTTGGTATTTGGGGCCTAGAACATAGCAGCTCCTGAAAATGCAGGAGGGCTCTAGTAGGTTCTCTGTGCTGGTGCAGTCATGGGAAACGGGTTTTGAAACCTGTTGTTCAGTTTCAGAACAACAAACTGAATTTAGTTCAGATTGTGCTTGCTTTGCCAGTTTCCTGCTATACCTTTTTATCTTTGCTAAAATACATTATTATTGCATAGAAAACAACTTCATTTTAGACAGAAGGACTTTTTGAAGAATAAGAATATAGTATCTTATTTAGAGCATTTTCATAGTTCCAATGCTTCCAAATTGAGTGAATTATCACTTAATAAAGTTTGAGCAATTTGATCAATTATCAGTAAAATCAAATGAATGCTTAAATGATATGACAGTGTTTGAGTGACTGTGGCATGAAGAATATATATTATGTTCTATACATTTCTCTTAAAATATGAAACAAAATAAGAACAGGTATGGCACAAAGTTTTCTAACAGAAATCTAAATACTGTAGAGCAACAACACATCTTGTTGCCACCAGAAACATGTGGAAGGCTGTAGGATATTTTGGAGTGCCAACTCTGGCCTTTGAAAGTTGTTCTGTGGTTGGAGAAAGCAATCTGAAGTTGGAGCAACTTTCCTTTCCACCTGTTTGCATGGAAAGAACTGAAATTTGCTGACTTGCAAGGCAACCTCCACCTCCTTGCTTCTCCTGCCCTGCATTTAATACCTGTAATGCTTTGAGTTCAGGGTGCTATGGGCATCCTGACTGGATTACACCCCAAGAGCCATACATGATAGTTAATCATGCCAATTAGACAAAATGTGGATAAGGTGAGGATGAGGTGGTATACTTAACAGCAGTTAAATTGGAATTATCCAATCAATTGTTGGAAATGTCAGAAATAGATAGATTGCTTTACTATTCATGTTGCAAATGTCCTTTCACAAAACAATACTGGAGAAAGATGAATAAATATTGAGCAAATATTAAGTTACAAAATCCAATCAGCTCCCTTTTTTTGCCTTCTTATGGACTGATTTCTCAGTCAACAACATAAGGAATCAACAGCATATATGTTAGCTGCAGCCAAGGATATTTTATATAAAAAGGTGGACAAGACAAATAACATCTAGGGATGAGTGGTTAGATAAAATTTGGAATTTTGCTAGCATGACAAAATTAACATATTAAAACAGCAGAAAAATGACAGAGGGGACTAATTTGTAAGAAACTGGTAAAACCTGATTATTTTATATATGTTAAAAAACATATCCAGATAATCAGTTTTTTTCAACAACTTCATTTATTGGTAACTTTGGGTTCTGCATACATTATGATTCTGAAAATGTATATTCTTTATACAAGTGATTCAGAGAAAGGATGTCTGACTGCCTTATGTTTATACTATCCATCATATTTATTGTATTACTTTTATTGAATGGTGGAAGGACATTGTTTGCACTGGGGTACCAGCAAACATGTCAAAATGTTTGATCCTGCTCAACATCTTATATGATTAGAATCGTCTGAATTAATTAGTACTGGTAGGTAGATTGTCCTGCCTTGCCTTTTGCTCTCTGAAAATTCTGATTCTATTCAAAGCTACATGCAGTCTTGAAAGTACTAAATCCTAAAGCTGTAACTGTACATGTGAAGGGGATGGGGAAGGCAGAACAGCATATCAGTCATACAGTGAAAACTTTAAGCAATGCACCATGAGTAGTTTAATATAATGTACTTTTACTATTTGAAGAGAAAGGCTGGATTCAACTTTACATCTTTTTTTCTAAAGAAGATAATCCACTTTAAAAAAAATCTGAAAAATTCTGTGTGCACAGTACCATTACTGCATTTACTACTCATGAACATTTGACTTCATGGATGAATCTCCAAATAATTTGTGTTAACTTTGGCTTTTCTTTTTTTAGGCGCCTGAACAGAAATAAACTGCAAGTTCTTCCAGAACTCCTTTTTCAGAACACACTGAAGCTAACCAGACTGTAAGTATAGTTTTTATTTTTGGCTTACTATATGCGCTTTGTTTGGTTTTAAGTCAGCAATTTTGGCTGTGAGGTTTTGGTATGATGCCTTTTTGAAGTGGATTGTGAGACGTATCGTGGTTTATTGTACAGGCTCTTTTCTGAGAAAGAAATTTTAGAAACATTTCCGTGCCTTTTCACTGGTGCTGTATATCAGTTGAGAAATTGAAGTGGCTGATATTTTCAATGGCTGCATTTGGATCTGCTTCCCGTTTCTGCCACCAGTGTACTTGAAAGATCAGATGCTTCCACTTTCACTTTAGATTTAGGTCAACATGTCTGAATCATAAACTAAGGCTAATTTTAATTAAAGTATGTTGAAGCAAGCCAACTTCATAACCCATGATTTGAAGTTGGCTTATTTTAAACAAACTATGCTTAATTGCAGCTTGTGGCAACATAAGAAGCCTTGATAAATTAAAAATCGAAAGAAAAGCTCCCAATCTCTTTATGGTCATGGTCAAGTAAGAGGGCATTACTTATGAGCCCCAGTAGAGTCTAGGTGCATTTTAATCATAACAAATCATGGTTTATTGTGGCATATAAATGCAGCTTTTTGGTCAGAAGGCATTTGCAAGTAGTGAATTTAGAGTACTCAAGCAATGATGATATTTTTATAATATCTCTTGTGTCTTAGGATGACTTTAGGAATGTTGTGCTGATTGTCAACTCTCATGTACTTTAACTATTTATTAGGTAAATGGTAATTTGAGCTAAAAGTACAATTATGATGGTCATGGCAGTATTTCAGTCAATATCTAATGGAAATTTACAGCAGGATATTAGTGCGACATAATTCTATAAGAGAAAATTGAAACGTTTTCTCACCGCAACTTACTGAAAGACTTCTCTTTTTATACATGGCACAATAAATTTGTTTTATCATGATGAATCAAAAGATCCATTCACCTAAGAATATATGCAGTCTTTACATATCGGTTACATAATGGACAATATAAAATCCTAAATTAAATTGCTGGTGGTAATCTGGCAGTTGTAGCATATGTATGGTTCTCAGAATATGAATGGATCTTGTGATCAGCCAAGATCATCCACTTCTAACCAGCAAGTTCATGTTCTGTATCCTCCCAAAGTGAGCAATAGCAAAAGTGATTATGATAAAGGTTTTTCTAGAAAGGCTCTACATTTTACACGAGGAGGTAATGACATTTCACAAATGATGCATAGTTATGCTTTGCAAATTATTTTACTGTACAACAAAGGAGGGCCGGAAGCTTAACTTGTTTATGTTTTATGTGAATTTTTTTGTGGATTTCAACCGTTTCCTAGGATCATTGATAATTCATAATTTATACCAACCTTCCCCAACCTGGTGCTCTCTGGAAGTTTTGGATATCACTCTCCAACAGTCCCAGCAAGCATGGCCAGTGAATGGGAGCATTGGAAGTTGCAGCCCAGAACATGTAGAGGGCCCCAAGGTGGGAAAGGCTAAGTTATACTCTCAGTGACAATTAACTCGAACATATGCTGTGCCCTTGACAAATTGTCAAACAGCTTTCATGACTATGAAGAAAGGTCGCATCCTTTGTGTAAATAAAACAAAGGAACCACTTGGACAGCTCCCTAAAAGCCAAAGGGGCAATCAAATTGCCAAACCCTTCAATTACAGAATATCTCTGTAACTTCTGTAATTATTCACATGGTCCTTTGTGACATCTGTTTGACATTACTGGAAGGAATATACAGGATAATCAACCTTAGAGTGGAATGCAAAGCATCCTGTTAAATATATTTGATTCATACCTTATTTTCGTCTTCCTTGCCTGGAGGAGGAGTTTGCAGCATGTTCATTGCATGTTTGATTTTTCTTTTGTGGTTATTTTGCAGAACTTTTACAGTGAATTACAATTGCTTTCCCATCCCCTGTAAAAAAAAGGCCAAGGCAAAGGAAAAATACAGCAGCAAGTGGCACAATAAAGGGAAAAAAAGCCTTTCCTGCAATGTATAGAATGTTGCCACCACCATTATTATTATTTGCATTCTGTTCCAGGGTTATGTTACTTAAAGCATAGGCTTCCAAGAAAAATGGCCAGATTTTCTGGAAACAGATTCAGAGAGATAATACTTTTTGATGCAAATACTCAAATTATCCCAAACTATACCACTATTAAAATGTTTTCAAATACTTGAATCCACACATACATAATAAACAAATTTCTTGGTCGGTCAATATTGACATTTTAAGGTTGGGTTAGACCAAGCTGACATCGCAACATTTTCATTTAGCAAATGGATGACCTGCATCTTAGAGATTTGCATCTTGTGCCTGTGATCATGGCAGCAGCATCCAGTTCTTCAGAACTGTGGCTAGAGAGCATTTTGTCTTGCATTTCCCCCTGGGTTTGTGTGTGACAGCATTGGCAAGGAAGCGGGGAACACCATTTCCCCCTTATTTGTTCCTCCCGAATAATTACCCCATCCTAATTACTGGACCAGACTAGAAAAACCTCTTTTGATTCTGTGGCACAAGCACTGGCACAACAGACCCCGCCGCCACCGAACCCCAGTTTTTGGGGCAACAGAGCACCTGGGTACAGTTGTAGTCCTGTCTTGCTGAAGGCTTCCCACAGGCTTCCAATGGGTCCCAGGGCGAACAGAATGCTGCTGGACTAGCAGTTGTTCACACATTCTTTACCTTGGTGGACCCAGGTGACTGTATAGGAGAAGTATTTCCCTTGGGTTTAAAACCATTCATTAGGGAATGTAGGTGGAGGAGGAGAAGAGTGCCTCAAGTGCTTTGGGACTGGAAAGGCAAAGAAGTCAGACTTCTCTTGCCAAAGATGACTAGTGAAGACAATAGCAGAATTCACTAGCAATATTCCTTTCATTTCCTGTTCTTTTGCAACCTTTAGTGCTGAAGCAGCAGCAACCATTTGAAAGCACCCAGCAATAAAACTGGCAAGATAAAACACCCTGTAGAGATACACAGATTATGTTATGATTAAAATTACTCCAAATTCGCAGAAGCATCCTTAAAAAGCCTGACCCCAACAAGCCCAGAAGTGTCTCTTGAAAATTCCATAGAAGCTAGTATAAGAGTTGAACGAATGCATGGTGTTCCCAAAGGTTCCTGGGTCAAATTACATGTTCTCGGTTCGGATTAAAAGTGACCTGTAATGTATTTGTTTTTCAAGCTATATTAAATATACTAGGCTTCCTTTAAAAGTAGAACCCCCTCTGAAATAATCTGTGTAGTTTTGCTTTTAGTATTCTGAAAAGGCATTCATATACTTTTTGGGGGTACTTTTAAGTGTCACCTGGCAAATTTGAACTATTGGAAGGAACTGTGTAGAAGCCTCCAAGGATTATTTTTTCGCATCCTGTATTTGAACAAAGCTTAGGATCTGGGTTTCTTTTGAACATGTATGCAGCCTTAGCTTATACATTCTCTTTGAGCTGTTCCCCTCTATTGTAGACAAGGTCTATGAGCAGGACTATGAGCAGTAGTGCTACCAGCCTTTATGCAGGTGGCAGTGAAGGGCTATAGCAAGTAGGAATTTCAGAGAAGAGCATTCACAAGCTTAGGCAGAAAAGCTGAGAGATCTCATGGCTCCTTTGCCACAAGGCTGGAAGCTCCTCTGAGATATGCTGTACACAGTTCTCCAGATTTTTTTAAAAAATCAGCCTTTTAGGCTCTTTGCACAGCTCTCTCTAATCTATGATGAGTGATTGAAGCTTGGAGGAAAAAAAAGATTAACATTTTTGATTTACATGCAATTTGCTTAGCTTTTGATGAGGATGTCTCCTTAATTCAACCTTCGAATGTTGACATGGAAATTTAGCTTCACTCTAGTTCAAGTCTTGCCTTAGGTATGCACTCATTAGATGGTCTTATGCAATCCACTTCTTCTCAACATAAGTCCTTCTGAATTTGCAATACGAGGGTATTAATAGATGCCTACCTGACAGGTCTGTTGCAAAGATTATTTACATGGAAGTGCTTTAATAGTCTAGAAAAACATGGTACACATATACACACAAAGTATTTGTTATTTGAAGTTAAAAGCACCAACACCAAAGAGTACCTTGCAGTCTAGTTATTCCTCAGACTTTGTACATAGTAGTTCAGTTAAGGATACTCTTGGTTAATCTGAAAACTTAATTAATGGTAATGTTAGTGATGTTGCTGACATTCTTAATTACCGGATTCAAAATATGAGTATTACCATCTTGCAATGCTTGGATATAATGTGAATCAAATGTTGTTTCCCTGCAATGTTCTTCTATGGCTTAGAATGGGGAGTGGGGGGGGGGGGACGGACCACAAACAAATGATTTTCTGTCCGTGCACAGAATTGATTTTCGTGTTCTTTTTGTTTAATCTACTTGTGTCCAAATCATAGACACTAATCACAGCTCAGACAGAGCCAAGCAAACATGTCTACAGGGTGGGTTTTTTAATGCTCTACAAAATGGTAGGAAAGGCCAAACAAGGAGTTGTCCCTGCACATATTTTACCACCCTCTAGGAAGTTCCCCAGCTCAAGTGCTCTACAGCTTTTACAGATGCTTGTTTTCTGGATGTTTTAGACCAAAAACCTTTCTTTCTACCGTGGAAGCAGTGACTTTGGTTGCAAATACACTGAGGGACACATTTTGGAGCCCCGTTTGCTTAGAGTCTTTTTGGGTAACTCCCTCCCCCTGGACAATGAGACATGCCCTGAAGTTGATTGGTATCTAATATTGACACAAACCTCCTCTGGAGGATGCAGAAACATCAACTTGCGGGGCAAGTGCCTTGTGAGAATGTGCCCTTAAATGGAAGGTCCCGCTCCTGTGAAGCAGGTGGTAGCAGTAGCTCCCCTTTGGAATGAGCTGAAATTATTAAGCATTGCCAGGGCAAGAGGAACATGGCCAAAGGAAATAGGGGTTGCTATGGTTTTGGCTCACGCAGGAATTGTGGCTGCACTGTGTACAAATCCCAGCAGGTCTGCTCAGAAG